CATGAGTGACGTCGACGACTTTGTGTGATTCATTACTCTTACAGGATATTTCACGCTCCTCTTAGAAAAAACTTTCTTTTTCCAGGGTCATCAGCTAAGTTAGATTCATCGTAATTCACGATGTTAGATAAAGGTACATCTTAGGAATTTTGAAGTTCCCTAAAATAATATTTCTTAATTTGTGGCGATACTGCAGCCCTAGATCTTTTGATATCTGGCTTATTCTTTCTGAAATTTCTTTGTTGTAACGCTTTAAGAAACTTTCTACATAATCCACACCAGGTAAGTTATTATTAAACTTTTTGATTTCTTAGATCTTTAGATATCCCTTTATTATTATCCGTGGATGCCCCCACCCAGAACAGATGTTAATATATTTTATTATGAATTTATCTGCTTCTTCACTTAGAGCTCTTTGTCCACCTTGATTTTTCATTTTTCTTGTTACATGTCTGTGCAAAACAGACTTTATATTAAATTGCTTAGCTATTTCAACTAAATATTTATCCCCAGTTTCATAGGTTTCTATTGCATTTTTAATGTTAAAGGATCATATCTTTTATAAAGCTTTGAACTTTTTGAGATATACAAGCAAGACATCTGGAAAAAAACCACAATGCATCAATTTATTCAAATATTTGCCACTCAATAAATCGACACTAAAATGACAACTAATATATTTAGGGCTTCTAATACTTGCTTATTTATGAAATTAAAGATCTAAACAAAAACATCATGTAATAAACCGCCAATTATTGCTTAAAAAAAAACGCTTATTGACAACCCTATAAAGTTGTACATATTTATACACTAGTCGTTCCTATTCAACTCATGCTCATCCCTTCGTTGTTATTCATACCTGAGACGTCCCCATTCAACCCAAAACAACGGATTTTTCATGCCTTTCTAATTTATCAATAAATATTAAAATTAATCAACAACTGGGACTTACTTTTATGTATAATATGATGTCCCAAACACTTAATAAAGTATTTAACACACACTTGTCTTTTCTAACTACAGAATAAATTTTAGAGAGCGAAGTTTCTAACACTGTAATATTGGAGCGTCACGAGAGGGTATTTTCAAATGACGTTATTGTCAACTTGCAGATAATATCATTCTTATTCAGTGTTGCCTAGAGAACTTTAAAAGATGTACTATTTTTTCACAAAAATTGTACAAGTTTTTAACAAATTGGTAAATATTATTGCCCAACGAATACATTTCCTTGTTTTATCCCTATTCACCCATTGATCCCTATACACCCCATTTTACGGTATGCAATCAAAGTTTAAAACAACCCAAATACACAAAATCTAATAAAACACAGTAACTTACGTACGAGCGAGCGCAAGAGTAGGCGATAACGTCTGACGACTCTGACGATGACAAAGAAAAAAAGCGGTTTCTAGAGAGAGACACGTAGGTCTTGCACCACTTTTACCCTATCTCATTTTTTACCTAAATTGTGCTCGAAATAAAATTATACTTGCGAGTAAAATTTAATGGAAATACGTTATTTTAAATCTTTTTATCCAATATTCATAATTATTTATCATACACATAAAAATGTGACGTCATTTCAAAATTACACGAAATAAATTTCACTATTTTCGACTGTATCAACTTTAAACTCCCGTTTTCGCACAAAATGCCCTATAAAGTACCAACTTTTTGTGTTATTTTGAGAGATAAGGAATGCATTAAGTTTTTAAAATTAGCAGGAAGTTATTCAGTGAGCGTTAAGTTTTTTTTTTCAAATTAAATCAAATAAAAATTTCTCTCAAACAGAATACTAACGAAAAAATCTCTAATAATTACTTTACAGAAAAAGTTACAGCTAAAACCGTCCAAAATAAAAATAAAACAAAAAAAATCATATCTCGAAAACTACAAAATATCGCGGAACATACATGGAGGGGTCCAATCGATAGGTTATTGGTATCCCCAGACCACACACCTTTGCTGGTACAGGTTTCCAGGGACACCTGTATAATCAAGTTATTATGTAATCGACCTATGTATGGCATGTCCAGAATCAAAATCACAAAACATTTGGTGCTAGAAATTGTAGTATATAGTTAGTTAAATAGTTATATTAGTTGTTTAAATACATTGTTCTTTAAGGTATAGATTTTTAAGTTGCAACGTAACATCTTTACTTAATTTGTAAACATTTATTTTCTGCTATTGTGTTCCGTGGAGTAGTGGCTTAGCAATGAGTTGCTGCACTGATTCGAATCCCGCACGGAACAAGTATTTGTATGGCCTACAAGTAATTGTTTGGGGTCTGGATGTTTGCCTTGTGCAATTTATGTTTGTAAACTGCCCCCACGATACAGGAGAAAATGCTAGTGTGGGGGTAACGTTTTTTAAAAAATATATCTAATTTACAGTTTTATTATATTTAATAAACCTTAATATGTGTATGTTTAAAATTAATAGGTTTTCTTAATTAGAAACAATTGACAAAAAATGTATAATAATATATCTTTCGGTCTTTGTGTTTTCATAATACATTGTTTACATGTTGCATGTGAGCTTTGCAGGTGAAGGTTTAACAGCGCTTTCAATTTTCCGCCATATACTAATATTACATCATTCATATTGTGTACTTTTCTTCATTGTAGGCTTTGGAATCAAAGTTAGCGTCGTGTCGTGGTACAGTTAGACCTAAAGAGCGTTCACCAAATCCCGGCTCAGACGTCAATAAGGACTACAGATGTGTACTCAAGAACTAAGAATAGCCCAATACCATTCCGTCGACAATTCACTGCGACTAGCACGAGTGTTAACTATTGTAGTATTGATACTCATTGTTCTTATAACGGCTTCTTCACGTACACATGATGTTCTTAAAACGATACAAGTATGTTGTGATCAATATCATATTTTCCTAATTGACTAAAATCTGTGATGATAATAAAGTAATTAAGGAAATGTTTTTGGCCTATACCCACCGGAAATTTGCAGTGAGTTGTGGCAAATAATTTGAGCTTGCTTCATACACACTGTTTTATTCACCGGAATCCCAATGTTATTATATATGTAAAGATACATCAAATCTAAATTTTGTGGCTAACGCATAAGCACCCTATCAATAAACAAGCATGATTACGACGCCCATGAAATGAGTGTTTAAGGCTCGCATTAATTTTTTTCTTTACTATATATATATATGTATATATTTTTTAAGTGAAAACAAATATTTTGGAAAAATAACTTTATGTAAATATCAAATGTAAAGGTATTGTGTATTAAACTGTTGAAATTACAAATTTTTATGAACTTGGATAATAGCTTTTTTTCATTCAATAATTTACCATTTAATGTGTAAGTATTTATATTTATATAATAATATGCAATTAAATTCGCTTATACAATATTTATTATTATTTAGATAAAAAAGTGGTGTTAATTTGCTGGAATCCACATTAAATATGAAAATGACAACAATAACTTGCTAAGCCCTGCATGTTAAAATTAAGTAGTTGCCTACGGTTTTAATAGTTTTTAGTTATGAGTAAAAAGCTATCTACGGCAACATTCACGTCTTTGCGCGTATTTTGCGTGTGGCTCTTCGACAAAATATAGCATACCCTTGACGTTACTCGGCGCGCCGAAATATTTAGATATAGATCAAACAGTACACGGACCGCCGCGCCCTTTCTTTACCCCTCTTGCACCCTCTGTACTGGGAACCATCCGAATCAACTAAGTATGTAGTATATATAAACTTTTTCTACTTAAATACTAGAAGATTGAAGTCAATATGGATAACGAGGCATTAGCAACTCATGAAAATATAGCACTACTTAATTTTGCAAAGGTCTTTAGCAAATTAATTGTTAATTTTCATCCATTTTTTTATAATTAGACAAATTGTTGTTTTATTGCTGTGTGATAGTTTAGTCACCATATGGAGCCAATGGTTTACTGATTATTTTTTCTAGTCGGTATTTGTGTTGTTTTATACAGTGTGACTAACATTTACTCATAATAAACAATTTAATAAATGAGATGTCATGCTACAAAATACAAGTAATATGTCGCAATGTTTACGTATTATGAATATTTTGTCTGAGTGAACTTTTGGGCATGCCTAAATAACACTAATAAATGTTGGATTATTGTCTACATTCCTGTCTAATTTTTCTTACATTGTTTCACCTAATATGTTCACAGATGTATGAGAGTCAGTGAGTGAGATATTAACATGAATTGAAAACTTGCCTATGATGATTATAATGTACTCACTTAATCACATGATGATGTCTTTAGTGTAATACCTAGTAAATAACGAAAGTTCAAACGTAAGCTTAAAATTTAAAATAATACTACAAGTTTGTAGTTAAAAAGCTTCAAGTATTAAGTGTGTCAAATATCTTTACGACTTTTCACACAAACAATTAAGGAAATTCGAAATGAGTATACTGAAAAACATTAATTGCTACAAAAAGAGAGTATTATTTTCATTATTAACACAATTCGATTTATTTTAGATTTTCCGATGAATAGAAAAATATTGTATATATTATAATTATATTTTGCGAGTGTTTATATGTTAGGCAGATCACTATTTTTCTGTAAAAGGTCATGTCATAATAAGTTCTAACACTGCATCACAGAGCTAAGACATGTCAAGTCTTTTTTATGTTTAGCTATAAATGGGCTTCGAGATATAATTTTTAGAAAAAAGTCTAGGTCTCAGTTATGTAGTGTATAGTACGTGAAATATTGGTGATTCGCTTTACAAATTAATTAGTTAGTATTATAACTAAGTTAATTATAAGTTGGTCTTTCATTAATTTTATTTAAGAAAAATTAATTGCCCAGTCTGTTGCATATAGTTTAAGTAACTAAGCATTTATACACACGTGTGGTGACCAGACAATTTTTGTGCGCAATAATATATATAATAAAATAAGTCGAAGCATACAATTATGTTTTATTGAATGTCATTGTGTATGAAATATCAACAATACAGAAAATCGGTATTAAATAATTTGTTTCCCAGTTACAATATTTGATAGCATATTGCTCCATTCAATATGCTTTGATTCATCCACAGGAGGCCGAAAGTGTGTTATCAAATCTCGTATGGATTTGTTAAATAATTTTAATCTAAGTAATAAAACAGAAGTCTGTGCATTTTTTACCTCTTCAATTAATACATTTCCTGTAACGTAAAAAAATTAAAGTTATTATTCCAATTAAACTTACATAGAAGATTCGGCTGAAACAAATTGCTTACCCAAAAAGCCCCTGTAAATTTTGTTCAATTAAACCTTTCCCTATTTTCGTCCCTAATTGACACATGACACATTCTCAAACCAAAATTACTGAATGCTAGTCATTTAATTAACCTATAATTAAAATTTTCACAATTCTCTACCCTATTCAATTCAATGTATATTGTTAATTATCAACCCGTAACAGTCAACAGTTTGAGATGAGCCTCTTCTATTGTATGCGCTGCCTGATATTATCCAAAGCAAATTAAAATTAGAAACAGCTTTTTCATAAAATAGAAGTGACAAACAAACTTACAGTCCACCTGATGGTAAGTGGCTGATGCAGTCCGTGGACTCCTGCAGCCTACTTCAAGAAGGCTACAGATGCGTTTTCACCCTTGAGGACTAAGATGGAATTCCTCACAGCCATTAATCGTACTGGCTCTCTATACCCTTCAGACCCGATCACAGCAATGCAAGCACTGCTATTTAGCAGCAGAAATAGGTTAGAGGGTGCTATCAATCGAGAGGGACTCCAGGGCAGAAAAGTGGTAACTAACTAACCTAGTAACATTAGAATACAATTTAATTTTATTTGTGTAATAATAATAAAATATTATTATCTGGAAAACTTAGTATTAAATATTAAAAAAAAACTTTAAATCTAGTTTTATGTTGGCAGCACTGCATGTCTCAAACTTTGTTGCCATCTTCAGTCGTATTTCATATACTAGGTTTATAGTCTTATTTGTTGGTGGCATGGAGGTTAAAGAACAGGAGAACGATCGCTACGTACTAAAGCATAGCCCGCCTGTTCTTAAAGATTGTAGAATTTATAGCGGCGCTGACGTCGGTGAGTAGTGACTGCGAAGTTAGCTGTTTATGAGTACAAGTAGATGAAGTTAGTTGAATAATGTACAAATTTTCTTCGCGGCATTGGTGAGAAAATTTTCATGCTCCGTAATTTTGTAATTTTTGACAAAAAGTAACATTAAAAAATGGATAAATATTTTATTGTGCGTGGATATGCAAGTGGTTTAGCATCTGATCGGAAAAATAGACTGATAATGACTTTTATTGAGCGAACTTAACGATCGCAGCGCCTCACTTATGGTGTCCATATTTCTGGGACACTATTTTCTACGGCGATCCTTCTCCTGTTCTCTAACCTCCATGTTGGTGATCATGAGATTTCACTGGCAATTACCACAGTCGACTCTACAATGTCCGTAGGGTCAGGACGATATAGTGATAAATTCTCATATGCCGCCAAAACTAAATATCATAATTATGAAATCCTATTATTTGATTTCAACTCAACATTTCTAGTTATCCTATTACCCAATTAGCGCCTGCTGTAAATTTCACAATACGCGAGCAAACCGGGTTCGATCCCCGCCGGCACCAATTAAATTGTTAATTGCAATTTTAAGTGCTGATTTATCACTTTACTTTTTATTACCCAAAGCAACAACAACAATTGATGCAAAGCAACATAGAAATGCACATGTTCATACTTATTTTAATAAAACTTACCCGCTACTTTTGATGATCGTGTTAACCACAGGATAATTACATATAGAGGTAATGTTTGTATTAAATAGATAGATTTGGCAAGTATATATTGGACTAAGATAGAAAACACTCGGAACTGAAAACAGAAATTAAATTTAGTATTAAAACAAAGGCAGTAAAAGGTGTGAGAGAATTATTCAATGTATGTATATAATATTTTTGTTTTTATTTGTGTAGGGTGGGGCGCTTGTTTGAGATGATGTAGAATGGAATTAATACTACAGTTTCGGAAAACACCTTTGTTCTGGCAAAAACAACCAAGAAATCTAGCCATTTTTTTAACATATTATATAATATTAGTATTTTTTTTTAAGTAAGTTTTCTATGAATTAACTAGCAGTATAGGGTTTTTCAATTGGCGCGGGTAAATTTTGGCGTCCATTTTGTTTTCGTGACATTTCTATATCATCTTTTGATGATTATTCAGTTACTTATGTCAAATCACCATGGCAAGTTACGCGATTGATCAGCACGTTCAAATGATAAAACTTTATTATCTATATGAGTGTTCGTTAGTGCAAACTTTGCGCGCATTGCGCCCGTTTTACGATAGACGGTGGCCCTTCACAGTCGACAATCGGTAAACAATCTGCTAATCCCCATACGTTCAAGGAACGTAAGATCGACCGAGAACATCGTCGCGGTTCGTGAAAGTGTACAGCAGAACCCGAGGCAGTCGATTCTTCGCCGTGCACAAGAATTCGGCCTTTCGTAGACTGTAACTTTCCGAATTTTGCGTCGGGACTTACGCCTACACCCGTACAAGAACCAAGAACCAACTAACCCAGGAGCTCAAAGTTCATGACCATAGACAACGCCGTTTGTTCGCTGACTGGGCTTCGAATCGGTTGGATGAGGACCCAAATTTTGTTCGAAAAATAATTTTTAACGACGAGGCGCATTTTTGGATGAATCGTCACCGTTAATGGCGAGCACTACAGAACGATAATAACCAATATCTTATGGCCCAAATTGAACCATATGGGCCTAGACGACATGCGGTTCATGGGACGGCGCTACGTGCCACACAGCGGACGCCATCAAGGTCATGCGATTTGACGTCGCTAGACTTTTTCTTGTGGGATTTCTTGAAGTCTATAAAAACAAACCACAAACGACCGGTGCCCTATGTAAACTTAACACAGACCATCGCCCAAATTCAGCCGGATCTATGCAGAAGAGTCATTGAAAATGAGACTACCCGGATAAGCGCCACTGTAAAAAGCCGAGGCGGCCATTTCAACAACGTCATATTCCACACATAATGGCACATGCGGGTCTTTCAAATAAAAAAAGAATTTTGTTAATACCTCACACACCGCTTGTTGTATTTCATATCAACATTTCCCCGCCCTTATTGAAAAACCCTTTAGTTCACCTGATGGTAAGTAAGTGGATACTATAGCCCATAAACTATCTATTATTATATTATAGAAAATATATTATAGAAAAATATATTATATACTATAGAATAAAATACAAACAAATTAAAAGTTACAGTATGTATTATGAATAAAATAGTTCAATTATTTCAATTTTATATTCAGTCGAGTTATCCATGGATAACTTAACTGATTATTGAAAAATATTCCGACCGTTATACAATCTGAATTTTCTCGTCTGTTTTATGGTGCAGCGCTTATGTACATTATTTAATATATATAAATCTAAAAGGTACTAAACATTACTCGTAATTCGTTTATATATAATAAGTAGTGTTTAAAATTGTTTACTACAGAGATGCCGCGAATACAGAATTATAGATAGTATTATTCGACATTCGGCGAATAGTTGACTAAAATAATGAACAAAAAAACTTGACACTTAAAAATACTCAAACTTCAATGAAATAGGTTCAAGAAAAGAGTTGCTAGAATTTAAATTTGTAAAATCCGTATAATGTGAGACATTTCTTTAACTTTATTGTTTTCTTTTCTCATAACCTTAGAAATTTTTTAGATTACAGTGCAAGTACAAGCGTGATGTTATTATTTCATAACAAATAAATTGTTTTAATATTCCTTTTTTTATGTCGAATAGTAATGGCGAGTTATTATACTCAACCGAATCTAAGAAATACCTTTTGACGTGATTTAAAATAACCTTTTACGTAAATCCAAAGAATTATGCAAGTTATCTATATTTCATTGTAATATGTACAGTTCTTTATCACTCATTAAAATTCGTATTTGTCCAACAAAGCAAAATATATTTTTTTTACCAGAATAAATTTTATGCTTTAAACAACGTCATGTTTCAATGACATGTCGTTATGTATTTTACCGTAGTGCATGGATGCTTAAAATTTATTATAATGCAAATAGTCGGTAAAAATATTTAAATAATTTAACCTTTACATTTTTAATTCATTGTTTGTTTATGTAAATTTTTTATTTTTAGACTTGAAAAAATTGTATGGATCATGATTTAAACAAGTGTAATTCTTTATAACTTCTGTGAATCCTAATACGGCGAAGTTGCTATTAAGTTTAGAAGATGCCGGCATGTACAATGGTACTATAGCGTCATTAAGAATCATTAACTAAATTTATCGTAAAAAATAAAATAAAAATTAATGTATACAGTGATGATGACGACGACTTCATCTAGTTCTAGAGAAAGTGATTAAATAAATTTGTTTTTAACCTAGTGTCTCTTTGATTTGTATAAGTAATTTTATTTGTAGAAATAAGCAATATGAAAACACTGATAAATTTTGTGTTTTCTCTGTTTCTAATTTATTCCGGTATTAATTTAGATGAAACTGTAAATGTTTACCAACTCTCTAAAGAATTGATATCGATATCTCTTAAAAATCGAATGTTATAGGTACCGATTTTTCAGTTGGAATACCTAGTCCAATAAATGTGACAGCTGTTAAAAGGTATTTTTTAGATTTGGTGGAGTATAGACTATTCGCCATAGGAAGTGGCGATTAATCGGTATTCGACTATTTTTTTTATAGAATATGGTGACAAACGAGAATACAGTCCACCTGATGGTAAGTGGTTTCTGTGGCCCATAGACATCTACATCTATCCTCGATTAGAAATCAAAATGCAGATGCGTTGTCACCCGTGAGGACTAAGATGGAATGCCTCGATTCCAGTAAAAAGGGTCTCCGGTTCTCTACACTCACCATACGAAACACAGCAGCATTAAGCTACTATTTGACGCTGGTATTCTGTGAGAACGTGGTCCTTCCCGGTCGAGCCGACCCATTCGTGCTACAACTATACTACTAATATAACTGCAGCATGGCTCTACCACGTATAAAACTATTCACGTAATAATTCCACGTAAACACGTATAATTCGCTATAACAACTATTCGGCATCTATATTATTTACATAGTTAAGTAATTCACTTACCAAGGTAAACACTATATAATACATGATAGTTGTAGGCAACAACAATAACAAAATCGTAAATGCAACTGTGCCTACAAAAAGTTCTTGATTGGTATATTCACACGAATCTACACCACCTCTTAATGGATTATATTTTCTGCCTACAAACAGCCTGAGTAGTGCCGTTAGTCCCGATATTTGAATGTCAAATAGCCTGTAACAATATTCTGTGTTATGATCATCTAAAACATATGCAATAACAACTTAGTAGTAAAATTTAATATTTTGTACAACCGACTTCAATATAAATAAAATGAGAACATCATCAATGTGGTCGAAATCAATTAAATACGCATTATTAAACATAACTCAAAAACTACTGGTTAGATTTTAATCAAATTTATATGGGACTACACGAGAAATATCACGTTTCGAATAAAAAAGAATCATCAAAATCGATTCACCTATAAAAAGTTCTGAGGTACCTAACACATAAAAAACATACACTCTAATTGAGTATCTTTTTTGAAGTCGGTTAAAAATGGGCTGCCTAGCGTGCCTGGTGTGTGAAATAGCAAACTACAAACTCTAATACTGAATCTAAAACCTGAGAGGTCTGTTTTCTGCCGTATTCATAAATATAATACATTGTAAAATTACCTTGCAGCATATACATATATACAATATGAATGGAATGTTGCTAAGCATATCATATCAGCTATTATGGCAGCTTGAAATGTGAATCCAAGGTAACCTACATATTTGTACAGATGTAATATAATGTCTAATTTTTCCCCTGACACGCCTGAAACAATTGATTATAAATATATACAGGATTATTCTGCAAATAATAGCCAAATTTTAAACTTAATTTCAAATATATAAATAATGATATATTGTTATTGTTGTTTTTGAAAACACAAGTAAATAAGGTTTTTACTTTATTTAAAATATTTCATACCTAAAAATAGCCACCAAAGTTCAATGTGATAGGAAAAATATTTTCCAAGCATTTTGTTGAATGCATTATTCAATTTAAGGCCAGCTGGAGAACCCATCAACCATTTCAACAAAGAATACATTGAATTTACCAATTTCTGAAAAAAAAAAAAACAATAAAAGTAAAGTTTATGTTTTTAAAAATACAGTGTAAACTCCATGTAACGTCAGTCCGTTTAATGACAAAATACCTAAAGCGTTGAAATCACTCGACTTTGGTTGGTGTTCCTTGTCTTTCATACAATTTCACTTTATATAGCACTACACCCACCCTCAATAACGACCACAATTAAATAAAAGTACTTTATTAAGTTGCAAAAATTAGTAAAAAATGCACAGCTGTGTACATTCTTTTGTCGCTTTATTATCCTAGCCTGTAATAAACTTAACAGTCGGCATCATACATACCAAACACTCTAAGAAATCTGTTGTTTTGTTTACAAATTGGGATTGCTTGCGCGTGTAGGCTGTTGTTAGTAGGTGTCATGGATTATCTATACGTTATCATATTATTAGTTGCATAACATACATAACATATTATACGCGTATACGTAATTACTAACACTGGACTAAAATTAACTTTTTCTTTATCTAGCACAAACTTTTTTCGTTCCATTTAACTATAAGTCTCCATAACGTCAAAATATGCAGTCCTTTGAGTGTCATTATATAGAGTTTACACTGCATATGCAATTTGTGCATTAAATTCTCAAGAAATTATTTTACCTCCAAAAATCCCATTAAAAGGTATCCCAGATCTTTTTTATCATTATCCTTTAAAAATAATTCTAAGATGAAATATCCAATCACAATATCCACTAGAATTGATAAAATTAAATTCCCTTCTTTCACTGAAACCTGGAAAAAATTGTAACTTAAGGGCACAGCATAAGAAGAGCATTCAATCATTTTTATAAAAACTAAGTTTGTATAAAAAGGGTTATTATAATATTAAGGAATTTATAGATGATAATAACCCCTGGGAAGGGTGATCGCTACCAAGCTATTTCTAATTTGTCTTGTGTTGTTGATTGTAAACATGATTGTAAGCTATTATTGGAAAAAAATAGTCCCGCTGGGTTTCTTGCTGGTTCTTCCCAGGACAGAGGTTTTTTTTTGCGAACCAGTGGTAAATTAAAAAAGTGACCTTCAATAAGTATTTTTATAATCTACATTGAATAAAAAAGTTTCTATTTCTATTTCTATTTCAATCAGTTATTACGTTTAATGTCGGAAGACCAATAAAAAAAATAATAAAAATTTTGGGTTGTCACAATGGGAAATAATAAAAAAATGGATTTTTATTCCATGTTTAAACAAATTGCACAACTTAATCAGAAAATTGGTGAAAAAAAAATAATTAAAATAATTTATAAGTGGGTAGTTACAAGAAAATACATTGCAAAAATAGTCAAATTTTGAATACAATATATAAGCAGTTTGTAGAGTATCTTTGAGTAAACAACTTGTTTTACACAATTTATTTATTTAAATCCATATTGAAATATAAGTGAAATCTTTCGAGTTGCATACACACAAGTTGAATAGACAAAGATGGCATACACTCAAAATTACGTTGAAGTAAGTTAATATTGCCATTTTCTCCATTTGGCGGGAAGAAGACTGCAAAGAAAATCTTAAAGTATCTAGTCTATGTCTAGTCTATAACTTTATGTCTGCCATATTTTGACGGATATAAGTTTTTTTTCACATATTGTATTATTATAAGCCTTCTTTAAGGTGGTATTAAATATCTATATTTTTATATAGATATTAATAGTTATTTTGCAACCATCCGTGAAATTAAATAAAATGATGTAGTTAGAAGTAGTTTGAAGAGTACCTCCCGCCCTTTCTCAATTGCATGCACTAATCCCGTCACCACCAATCCCACCACCACTACTCCCAACGCCACTACTCCCAACACCACTATTCTAGGAAAGACACACCATCGACGATAACACATAATTTTATTTAATTTTGCGGATGGTTGCAAAATAACTATTAATATTTTAATTATAATGGATTTCTGCAAAGTAACACCTGATTCTATCAACTTTATTATTTTTTACATTAACTCAACTAACTTATCGGTATTATATCAAAACATATTTACAAAAAAATGAGCAGCTGATAAATATTTTCGATTTTTTGGACTTACCACACGCATAATGTAAACCATATAATTTATTTTAAAAGAAGTTCCCGAACAACTGATAACCGATTTGATGATGATGATAACCGATTTTTTTTGTTCAACAATTAAAAATCACACTCTTAATCTCATGGATGTTAGACGGGCGATGAAGCTGCAGTCATCAGCAGATTTGACAGCATACAGGCAACTGAACAGACATCTCCAAATGCATGCAGCATGACTTATGCAACTTCAATACAGCTCGTATTGAAGAAGCGATTGAGCGGACCAGGGCTCCAAAGTCTGCCAGAGATCTGTCTGCCAATAAGAGCAACTCTCAAGACTGAAGACTGTGTGTACCAGCATCGTTTCCGGGACACCTGAGATTCTGAGTGAGATTGAGAGGTTCTATGGGCAGCTGTACACATCATCGATGGAACCACATGCAATCGTAAGTAACGATCCAAGAGCAAGTCTTATCTGACACTATTCTGATGATATCCCGGACGTCAATCAGAGCGAGATTAGAATGGCTCTCCAGCACCTTAAAAACAGCAAGTCCCCCGGGCGAGGATGGAATTACAGCGGAGCTTCTGAAAGTGGGTCACCCGTGTAAAGTATACATCTGAGCTATGTGACAAGATTGCTCACTTATAGAGGCTTTCAGTGCCAGTTTCGATACTCATTGGGTGACTAGGCGTTGATTGCTTGCAGAGGTTTTAAATTATTCTTTATTGTATAAGTTTTCATTATCTATTAAACTATGCATCCAAATAACATATTATAAATAACAAAGTTTATCTTCATAAAATAGTCTTAATGATGAAGTAACTTTCATTCGTGAGGGATAATATGCCATGTGTAATAATAAGGCTCATATATAACTTTTTAATTTTCAATGTTTTTGTCACGTATCTTATTGTAGCATATGTATAAGAAATATGCCTATGGTAAAGCAGACATTTTTTTAGATGGAGGAAAAATATATATTTTTGAAGAACATTGTACTTACATATCACTAACCATTATGCCAGCTCACGCAGATAAAGCAGTTTGGAAGTGCTTTTACTTCCAACTTGCTAACCAAAAACCAATGTTTAAGACTTGCTGAGAAGTGTAGCCTAATGCCATCTTATACAAAAAAAATTAACAAAACAGACTGGTAGTTCCAGAGATGAGCTTGTTTAAACAAACAAATAACCTGTTAGGCTTTATTAAAAGTATAGATTCTATCTCATTCTCCCACAGGCTAAATCATATAGTTGTAACAGACTATATCATAAAGGCTAATCATATGGTTGTCTCTTTTTAATTTCATTGTGTTTTAAATCACAACAATACTAAAGAAGTTTCATTTCAAAAACAAATTTTCATATTACTTACTTTTCTATTGCGTCCAATGGAGGATATAAGCCAAATTAACATATTCAAATAATTGCACATATGTTGGATAAACATAGAAGAAATAAGCCAAGACGGATTTCTAAATGTTGGTACATAAATTGCTCCATAGTATTCTTCTTTATGATCACTTCTCACCAGAATTTGCAACTTGGAAATAAAGTCACTACACTCATTTAGTGTTTCAGAATTTCTGATGACATTGTGGTCATATAAAATAATAATATATCTATCATAAAAATTAATAGGTTTTCCATTTATACTTATTTCTAGTACTTGAGGATGCAATTGATTACACAAAACTAAGAAATTTTCTGGCCTTTTGCATTTCCCTTTTAATTCCGAATTATTACTACAGTAACCATATATTAAATCATCTCCCTTGTTTTCTTTTAAAAATATATCACGAGTTGAATACTTGGTAACATAAATTGTAATCAAATTGTCATCACATATTTTAATATAGCCTTTGAAATAAGTATCTGCCACAACATTTTGAACTATTGGAAACAATATACGAATCGACATGTTCTAATCATCCATTCTATTGATAAAACAAAAAAGCGAAATAAAATAAACCCAGAAACTCGTTTGTAAACAAAAGTCAACTAAAGTCAAAGTCAAACTGTCAAACCTCAAATTAAAATACAAAATAGCTTTACGGCTCTAGGTTCTAGTCTTTCTGAGCCTCAAACACAAACAAAATATAACCCATGGATTTACTGTATATAATATATTGCCATAGAATACTATTTATATATGTATTATAGTATTCTATGCACAAACTAATGAGAGTACTGACGATAAATGTATATAGGATATAGCCTGCGAGAGAATGAGATGCACACATTTGTTCATAATTGATTTATACATGCTTTAGTTTTGTAAAACAGGCAAGTATCTTCATGTATGATACGCCAATAGAAAGGAAATGAGTTATAGATGTTTTTAAAACTGTTTGAATGCGTAATTCTACTATAACTTTTTCTAAATGCGTTAATAAAAGAGTTACTTTAACTTTCCTAAAAATTTCTAACTCCTCAGTGCTAAATCATCATCATTACAGCCCTTCACAAGTCCACTAAGCACGGTCCTGAGCCACCTACATCCATCGACTTCCCGCATGTCTTACCAGGTCGTCACTCCATCTAGTGGGGGGTCACCCTGCACTTCACCTACCGGTATGAGGCTGCCACTCAAGAACCTTTTCCCCCCCATCGGTTGTCAATTCTTTGAACTATATGGCCGGCCCATTCCCATTTCAGCCTACTAATCCGTTGGGCTATGTCGGGCTCCCTGGTTCTACGGTGAATATCCTGATTTTTATGTTTATCATGCAGAAAACCCTGAGTATAGCCGTCTCCGTAGCTCACTGAGTGACTTTGAGCTTCCTCATACGGGCAGCAGCGAAGGTTTTTTAGTGTTATATAAAATGTGAAGAGTATTTTAGTTTTATATAAAATTATGATTTTATTAGTAAATACAATTATGGCCAGTTTTTGAAAGCCTGATCAAACTCTTTTCAATTAAAAACTTTTGACGTTGTGTTTATACTTAGCAATAAAATTATTAATGCGTCGGTAGCTTCACCGAAATTATCGGATATAATACAAACCCGTAGTAAATATAGCCATAAAGCCTTTGGCTGCTAATATGGTATTTCATCAACTGGTTAATTTACATTTTATCCATGATGAAGGTACAATAAAAACATTTTTTTAGTTTAATTTTCCTTGGTGTACAGTCTGTTCGATTAGATACGGTCGTTTTTGTGCCGCGCCGCCTCATCACGTGCTGCATTTTGTCAAAGGTGCGACATTAAAGTTTGTACTGTAAACCACCTGAAATGTCAGGAATCAAAAGTCAAAATTTAACTTCATAAAATCCGTAAAATTAGTTTCATTTAGTGTGTATAAAATATAATTTGTAGTGTTCGCGTAAATATGAGAAGTAATAATTGCAGAACTTGTCGAAATTCTAAAATATTTTCAAGAAGAATAAAATTAGTGACAAGGGCAGTGATAAAACTATTTAATCTATTAATATAATTACAGCTAGACATTACTTCCCACAATTTCGTTGTTGATACAACGGTATCGGCTAACCTTCTTTTAGTGATAACTTGAGGTATGAAGTATGATTTATCAAAATCTCCCATACAGATGATACTGCAGTAATATTTTTAGTGATGACTCCTGGGATTCTGTTCGTAGATATGCTGAAGAAAGCTTTTGCTAGGATCGCTAAGTGGCTGAACACTGACCTACTTATTTTAAATACTTTGAAAACTAGTTATATATTTTTTCCAAATTATATTCAAAATCAGCCTAATATTAATTTCCAAATTAAACTTCACACATGCTATGATCCCTTAAGTACTAGTTGCAGCTGTTCATTAATTAGTAAGTTCTAACCTAATATTTGCAAAAAACAGCATGATACTACTTGGTGGCACTACTCCGGAGGCGTGGAGCAGAAGTGCGGTGGTCTTGTTCTTTAAGAAAGGTGACAACGCTCTCTTGAAGAACTACAGACCGATATCCCTTCTAAGCTGCGTCTACGTGCTGTTTTCGAGAGTCATTACGAATCGTCTCGCACGCAGATTCGACTACATCCAGTCTCCCGAACAAGCCGGTTTCCGAAAAGGCTTCAGTACCGTAGACCACATACATACCCTGCGGCAGATTGTACAGAAGTCCGAGGAGTACAATCTGCCACTTTGCCTGGCGTATGTGGACTATGAGAAAGCCTTTGATTCCGTCGAAATTTGGGCGGTGCTACAGTCCCTTCAGCGGTGCCAAGTTGACTGTCGGTATATCGAAGTACTGAAGTGTTTGTACAGTAGGGCTACGATGGCTATCCGAGTACAGAACCAGAGCTCGAAACCTATCCAACTGCAGAAAGGTGTAACAGGGTGACGTTATATCCCCGAAACTCTTCACCGCTGCATTGGAAGACGTTTTCAAGCTACTGGACTGGACAGGATACGGTATTAAGATCAATGGCGAGTACATCACTCACCTTCATTTTTCCGACGATTCCTTATGGCAGAATCGCTGGACCTAAGCACTATGCTCAATGACCTCAATGATGTCTCCCAACGGACAGGTTTTAAGATGAACACGGACAAAACAAAGATCATGCTTATTTTCCATGTGTAGTATCTACCTAGTACCTATACGTATGTTTGGGTATAATCTAATATATAAACTTATTAATAACGTAATTACAGACAGTCTTACGTCAACACTCAAGCGTTTCATTTCTCTCGTCCTTATATGGCGACCCTGCCAGTTGCTGCGCGCGCGACTCCACTCGCCGCGTGCACCGGCTGGCCACCGATAGTAAAATTATACTAAATATGTAAAAAATTGTATATTAAAAATTATTACACATTCCCGGATTGAGAAAATTAATTAAAGTCGTGTAGAGCCGGCCATCAAAAAGTTATATCATTGTGAATAAATATTTATAAAATAAAATTAAAACATAAGAAGTATAAAATCAAAAGGCAAAGATGCATCAAAAAGGAGAAGAGAGGTTAAGAGAAATAACTTTTTCACTCCGGATAAGAAGAATATTGGTTGAGAAGATCTAAATTGAAGTACGCAATGGTATTCACATAGGATATTTTACACTATCAAGATATATACACAATTTTCAAAAACTCGTAACAACCAAGCGAAACAAAAAGGAGATATTTATCAAAACATAAAATTATCAAGAATTTAATCGAGTGGCCAGTTTTTTAGGAGGACTGAATTTTTCGTGTACTCCATCTACAAGAAAACAGAAAGTATGTTATTTGCAAGAAACAAAAAAAAATTTAAGGAGATATATAATCTCAAATGGCTTAGCAAGATCCTTCGTTATGCCGAAAATATTGCAGCATTAATTTTGAAATAAATATATGGTAAAGTTGAGGATTAATGTTAAGGATTATGTTAGACGAAAACACGATTTCGTAAAATTATCTCGATAGAAAAAAAAATTCAAAGTTACCTCCAAAATAAACAATAAACCGCTGTTATTCATAAAATACTTTAAATAAGATCATGAAACTTTGCATACTAACTGAACTAACTATAAAGCAGTGCTTATGTTATTTACTTTTTTTAAAATACCATTATTTTCACTGCAAAAAAGAAATTGCCTAAACTATCGGTCTTTTGAAACGTGATTCCTGCCGCACGGTCACTTCGCTTGGGCCTTTGAACGGGGAGGTTGTGTCGCTTACGATCAGAATATACATTACGCAACAGGACGACGTAAAATTAAAATGGGAAATAACCGTAATAAAAATAAGAAGCGACTGGCTTGGCGTTAAGAAACAGGCATAAATATGATAAACCTAATGAATTAAGTGTCTAACGACCTTTCTACTTACAGTATTAGTGATTACAAACATGTCGGTACATAGCATACGACGCGCGGGCAAGTGGGGACGAAATTAGAATTTGAGCTGACTTACTATATCCCCTTAATAGAGACTATAATGTGAAAAATATGCTTGATGTATCTGCAAAACAATTACTGTATAAAATGAAAATTATATGATTATATTTTTAAGGTGAGTGATTTAAAATATTTATCTCTTTTAAAATTCTAATTTCATAAAATTAAAAATATAATAACTTTAGTCACCACTCATATTTAGATTGGTTTTTTTTTACCGAACACTCTCAATAGAAAGCAAGTGCCTATATAATATCCTAATTATTTTAGCGTGCTTATTTTAATTATCTATTTTGGTCTAAAATATTGAACATAATGAATGAAAAAAAGGAACTTTATTATATTGCTATAAGATAAACGACAACTCAATGAATAAATTTTGTAAAAGATAAATTGATCGGTGAATAATATTAATTTAAAACGCAGCTTAACTTAATAACGCAAACTGATATATTTTATTAATAATAAAAATTGCAATTTTTATATAGATATTATTTAAGAATTCATCGAAATGTAATATCATGTTTTCTTTGTATTAACATTGCGCATCAAATTCTAAACAATGCTGA